GCCAGCGCTGACCAAGCAGTCTAGCCGCGCATCATTTGGAGATCCCGCATGCAGTTGTGCGTCTCTGTACAGTGCCGACATAGCACTGCGCACCCCACGCCGACAACCTTTCGATGGCCGACAATGGCAAGTGATGAAATGTATGATGATTACAAGATCAGCTACTTTTGCGTGCTACGAGACAGAATTGGCGCTAAGCATGGCAGAAGATCGAAGGGCAAGTAGAGAATTTCATCTCATGGGTCGAGTGACCTGCCTAATTGTCGTTCTCATCGAGGAAGAAGTAGTTTCCGGAGCTCTTCTGCTCCTTGTCTTTCACCGAGTTGAACTTGTTCACTCGCGGTCTCATCGTTGCTGTGAGAGGAAGCCCCAGATCGTCACGTCAGCTTCTGAATCTGCAGTGCTTGGCGACGCTACACTCACTTGGATCACGTCGCATTGTAACCTCGAGTGCTGACAAGAAACTGTTCATACCAGTCAGCAGCGACTCGGGTGCCTTTGCCCGAGCTTGAACGGAGGGCGTCCCCTCGTAGACGATGACTCGGTCGGCGAGGTAGGTAGCCATGATGATGTCTGAGATGCACAGGAGCGGGCCAGGCTCAGTTCGGTGGCTCTGAGCGCGAAAGGTCTGCCAAAACTCACCGTGCTCAATGATCATGGCAGTCTTTTTGCTGTGCAGAATGAAGCGCTTGATGACTTTCGCGGCCAGGATACGTTGCTCTGAGTCCAGGTATGCGGAAGGCTCGTCGATCAAGTAGACATCCGCCGGTTTGCCAAGCGCAAGCACAAGTGCAACACGCTGCAATTCACCACCACTGAGAGTTTGAACATCCTGGTCGATGATGTTGTCCAGGTTCATCGGCTTGACAACATCCGTCTGGAACTGAGGATGCATGAAGGCTGCCTTGATCTGCTTGAGCAAAAGCATTCGGACAGAGCCTTGGAACTTTGGTGCGATAGTCTGAGGCTTCAAGCTGACGTTCATCGCGGGCAATTTGTTCTTTGGCCCATTGTCATCCGGTTCCAGCTTGCCTGCCAGCATCTTCACGAACGTCGTCTTGCCCGTTCCATTCTCTCCCAGGAACACCAAGATCTCAGAGTCGGCAAAGTCTCCTGCCTCAATTTCCAGCTTGAATGTGCCCAGTTGCTTAGACATCTTGGGGTAAGAGAAGGACCTTGACCGCTCAATGATCTCATCGGCCGTCTCTGCGATCTTGAAAGTGAGCGATTCCTCTCTGAATCGCATGTTCTCTGCAGGGATGTAGCCATCCAGGAAGATGTTGATCGCTGCACAGGTCAAATGCAAATGGCGTCAGTCCACCGAGTTTGACGTGGAGGCACATCTTTCGTGTTCCGCTCACCATCTCTGACAGGGCTCGGTACTGTGACAACACCATACACAGATGGCACGCCGTACAAGCAGCAGATAAAGTCAGACAAGTAGTCAAGAACGCTCAAGTCGTGCTCGACAGCGATGACGTAAGTTTCGTTGTCCAACAGACTTCTGATCATCTTGGCTGCATTGAGACGCTGCTTGACGTCCAGGTATGATGAAGGCTCGTCGAACATGTACCTAGATGCCATGCCAGGTGAATCTCGGTCAGCATACCAGACAGCAACTCAAGCTTGCCTGCACTCACATGTTCGCTTTCTGCACCACACTCATGCCGATGGCGAATCTTTGCAGCTCTCCACCACTCAAGTTCTTCACGTCTCTTTCCAGCACCTCCTTCAGGTCCAACACATCAATGACGTGGCCCTTGACATCATCTCCCCTCTCCAGCTTTCCCATCAGCATGCTGTCCACAGTCGCACTGCCCTTGATCGCCCTAGGGATGTGATCCACGTACTGCGGCTTAATCAAAGCCTTGATATTGTCCTCTAGCACTTTCTGAAAGAAGTTCTGCAGCTCCGATCCTCTGAAGTATTTCAGAATCTCCTGCCAGTCGGGAGGTTCCTGAGACGCGCATGGATGACGTGCTGTGAGTAAGGTCGCCGCTCCAAGAAGCGACTCGTGCGCATTGCAGCTACTCTAGACGAGCGGGCGCACGCCGCATTGCTCCGTCCCCTGTTCAGATTACACCAAATACTCACATCATACCTGCCCAAGTTCGGCTTCTGCTTGCCTGCCAGGATTTTCAACGCCGTGCTCTTTCCAATTCCATTGGTTCCGACGAGACCAAGCACCTGTCCTGCTCTCGGTGTCGGCAATCTGTGAAGCTTGAATGAGTTGGCCGAGTATCTATGTGTTGTTTCCGCTTCCAAGTTGGTGGGCAATTTGATGATGGTGATGGCCTCGAAAGGGCACTTTTTCGGACAGATACCGCAACCTATGCACAATGGTTCGCTGATCGTGGCAATCTTCGAAGCTGGCGTGACCTCGATGCACAATCGTCCCATGCGCACTACGGGACATGACTTTTTGCACTCTTGTTTGCACTTCTTCGGTCTGCACTTGTCAGAATTTACGATGGCAATACGAGTCTCTTTGGAGACCGTCTCTCGAGATGCGGCTGGCATTGTGGCGTTTCACCGTTTGCAGTCCAATTGCTCGCTGTGGAAGCACTGCACCGGAAGGCGAAAGCAATGTCCGGCAAAGATGTGATCTGTGGGTGGTACAGTGAGTGAGGGGAGATGACCAGCCTTGTCCTCGATTGGGGGTTAAAAGTGGTGGCAAGAGGGCTAAGATGCTCTTTCAACAGCGTTGGAGATGATCGTTGTCCTGTGTCCGGCTACCGAGCTGTAATGATGCTGATCAGCTCCAGGCAGGAGTGACCGGCGCGGCGTCCATAGCAGCATGGCCTATCTACCGCGGACGCGCGAAATTTGGCGCCTACGCCGAGACGCGCAACAGCTGCATGCATGCTGCGGAGATGGGTCACGTGCCAGAAGCTGTGGTGAGTCACGGAGAAGGGAGCGCTTTTGATTGGCTGAGGACACGGCCAAGGGGCCGCTCCAGGACACGACTTGCCTGGATCTGGTTCTGGAGGAGCAGCTCTTGACTCGAGGCTGCTCCTTGGTGAGCTGGATCAACCACGAATCTCCGATCTGAATGCTCAGTCATCCAGTGTGTGCATGGAGAAGGCATAGAGCTTGAATTTCAAGATACCTCAACGGCTCACATTCAACAAAATACAGGGGGTTGGGCAGGTCATGCGGTCAGGAGTGGAGGTGGCGGAGGGGTGGCAAGGGTGCAAGACTGGCACCGTTCCGCAACGATTGCGGTGGTGTGTAATGAGTGTGGGGCCAGTAATCTACTCGAAACAATGTAGGCGGCAACGAGACCTAATGAGAAGTCAGGAGCTCGTTGACGTGTAGTGAATGTGGCATCTGGAAACCTGTCGCCCCAATGTAGTACAGCTTCGACGTGCGAGTCAAGGAATTAGCAAGCGATCGTAGTGAATGGGTTGCAAGGTTCGACGACAGGTGACTTTTTCGGACTGCAACGCTGTTGATGACCTAATGCAATCCAAAATTTGCACCGCTGCGCCCAGCGAGCTCAGCGATTGCGCGAAGCTCCACGGAAGGAGTGGCTAAGAGATCGTCCGCTCGCGAAGCCCTTGGTGCGAGATCCGCGCGCAAGCGGAAAGGGTGCGGGAGGCGTACAGTGCCCAAAAGCAGGTGACGACTGCAGAGAGGCGGTCATCGAGATCTCTTTGAGGGCCGGGGGGCGCGGCAAGCCATCTGCATCGAAGCTGAGCCTCAGCTTCGAATTGCCAATCGTCGGCGTGCTGTTGCCCGAACCGCTCTGGCTCGAGGCGAGTGCTCGACCAAGGGGAGAAGGGGTCAAGGAGCTATCGTATTCGAGCGCCACGCCTTCCGAACTTGTTCGGGAAAGACTGCGTCGAGCAAGAGTAGCCAACGCTGCAAGCTGTCGATTCGTAGGTGGCGTGGGTGTGTTGCGTCCCTGATCGATTGTGGTGCTAGTTCCAGACTTTATAGATACTGAAATGGGCCGTGCTAGCGTCGCAGCTGATGGCTTCGGTGTGATCGAGCTCGAGTCGGCGTCGGGCCTGCAGAGCGAAGCCAGTGACGGCGCGCTCGCAGCAGCGGAAACCCTTGCTGCTCCCTGTGCATCGGCTACATTCGACATGGTGGCAATCCACGCTTGCCATTCGTCCGGACTAACATCAAGGTGATAGCCGACAGCGCCGAGTAGAGACCGCTCGCATGCTCCAAGTTCCCCAATGGGCAGTCCGGAGATGCGGCTCCAGGCACGATTTGAATAGTTGCGGTCTTGCAGGAACTTGGATGCCACCATTGTTGCAGCGAGGAACATGCGTCTAGCGCAGATCAAAAGGCCACAGTCGCGTTGCGAGAGTGGCAGCGAGCTAGGCCAAGAAGACCCACGGCTCACGGATGGAGAGGCTTCGACATGCGCCAAATTAGATCGCTCCCTTCTAAGCCGCATCACCGTGGGCCGTGCACGCACGCAGTAGAGCAGTGCAGCTTGTAAAGTGGAGCATGACGTGCGAGAGCGACGCAAGGTTTCCCTGACAAACAGCTGAAGGGGCAGCGCCGCTTGCAGGCGGCACTCGGGCGGCTGAACGGCATTGTGGCTGTCGCGCAGCACCGATGCTGTGGAGACATCCTCATCTACGCCCGACGCTAGTGGAGAGTGCCAGATCGAGTCGAGCGTCGCCACAGCGGCATCTGTGGAATCAGTCGGAGGACCACGCAGCGGTGTCAGCGTACGGTCACGATGATGAGGAGCAACGAGGGGACACAATTGTCATGAAGCGAGTTCTAGCGGAGATTGAGGCAGCGAGCAGAACATTGATGGAGTGGGGACGGTGCATACGTGGTACGGAGGGAGAATGGCGCCGCTGCCGCTGCATCGCCACCATTCGCTAGGACGCAAAGTCCAGCAATACAACTCACCAACGAGAGCATCTACGAAAATCCCCTTGGGCGCTTGACCGGCTGTGGGTGACACAGGCGACTGAGCCGTGCTGGGGTCATTGCGGCTTGCCGAAAGCTGGTCATTGTCTCCAAATTTCAAAGTCGAGACGTCCTGGCCTAGCGACGTGATGACGTCGACATCTGCAGCCGCGACACTTCCATCACCGTTGAAAGTCGAGTCTGCGCTTGTCGCCGTGTCCGACTTGCCACATTTGACGTCCGCTCTGCGCGCCTTGCGACTGCCGACGGACGGCGAGCAGCACTCGCGAGACGCTTGGGAGCTGCCAGGCGAAGTGACTGGAGATTGCTCCACGTCCAAGACGCTGCTGTTCTGCGAAGACACTTGGGTACCTGAAAAGATGCTAGAAGACGCTGATGAAGTACTGCTACTGCTGCTGTTTGAGCGCGAGCGTTTGCCAGTGCCACTGTAGAGATGACGATCAGGTGTCGTCAATTGCTGCAACGAAGTTCGCGACGGTGTAGTCTGCCTTCGCAACTGTTCGCGAGATGCGTCGCCGTCTGTCGGGTGGAGCTGAAGAGAAGCGGAAGTCGAGACGGCGCTGCTGGAGCTGCTCTGAGCCCATTCATTGATTTCCGAAGTGCTCATGCTGACGTTGTTTCGCTGGTTACGCCTGAAAAGTCGCAAGCGAGCTGAACACCGCCTTCCAGATGTTGGAGTGCTGATGACGGCAGGCCAGTGCTCTTAGTGCGCAGACCAGAGACTCAACGGAGCACTCCGAGCAGGTTGCGAGGCGCTACAGGACAGGCTATGCGCGCGAGAAACCGCGTGAGTGGCGCAACTTGCTTGCGAATCCGGCAAGTGGCCTCGGAGGAGAGAAATTCAGCGGTGGCGGCAGTGAGAGAGAGTCGGAGTGACGTGGTAAGGACGAGTAATGAGAAACGTAAATCGAGTACGGTTTGCGGGGGGGACGATAGGCCGGATGAGTAAAGTGATTGTCGGTCTTGGACGCATACACAAGCGCAGCAGCCGCTGAGTAGAGGCTGGAGTTGGGTTGTACGGTGATGGCAAGAGGCGACAAGTGTAGCAATTTCCAGTTGAAGGGGATGCTAGGTGGCGCGTTCGCTCAGCTAGAATCCCCAGGAGATGGTACGGTCTTGAGACATCGGATTGTCGGATGAAGTGGCGATGTTGAATGGTGTTCGCAATCTATATAGAAAGGAGGACTTTCCTCTCAGCGGCGGGGCGTGATGATTGTGGTTCAGGTGCGAGTGGAATCGAGATTGGAAAGGGTGGGAAGTAAATGAGCACAAAGTGATGACGGGAAGCCGATACGACGTTGTAGTGACGAGGAGATGATGACCAGGGGAGAGCGCTGCCAGAAATCTGCAACGCGATCGCTCGAGTCCGCCAAACCGGTTGCTACAACGAAGACGAAATGCGAGCAAGGCTTGCCAGGATATATGAGAGTAAGAGGTGGCTGATGACGAGCTGTCTCGGTGGCAATTCGTTCGTCATCTTAGGCGAAGGTGAGGGAGGAAAGGGGTGGCATCTTGGGTTCGCTGAGTGGCACCGCCATATTGATTCATCTCTTGTCCATGCCTGCGCACACAGCTGCGTGCGCAGGGGCGGTCAGGCCCGGGTGGCACACGGCAACATGCGCATGCCCGCGTACCGTACCGTGGCCTGGCCTGGCCGGCGGGGTACGTGACTCGCTATAAAGAACCTCGGCGCGGCGCGCGCAGCAGCAGGCGATGCCTGCATGGATGGATGCATGCTGCTCTGCTGTTACGCCACACAGCACGGGAGTTGTGTGACTCGCAGCTGCGCTGATGCATTCGCGAATTCAAATTTCGACTTTGAGCACAGCAGCAGCGCGCGCTGCGCCTCAGCACTCGTGACTCTTGACTGTTCACTTCACGCCCGCTCAGTTGCAACTTTTTAATTACGACTGCTCTGGAGCTGCATGCGCTGCGCGCATGGTTAGATGCTGCTTTTGGTGCTGTATGCGTGCTGCCCACCTCCAGCCAGACGCCGATCGAGTCAGGCGTAAATGTGATGCAGCTCCTGGTGGCGAACCATCGCCCACGTGGGATCGTGGATTGGAGGCCATGTCAAGCCGAAGCAGATGTTGAGCTCTCAGAACATGGGCCACACTTGATGCAAATCGAATGAGAGTCGTGTTGCCGTTGAGGTGACTGTCAAGGAAGTCGTCTGAGCGCATCAGTGGACGCTGCGAGGGTGATCATCTATGCATTTGACTCCCGACTCGTGACGACGTCCCGCACTCGATGGGCGACTGAGGTCAGCCGTAACTCACGGGTTTTCGCTCAGAGCAGCCTGAGCTGCACAATTTGATTCAAGTCTTTCACTCATGAGTGGTCAGACGCGTTCAGCAGTCACTCGAGCTTAACGTGATCGGATGTATTGAATCACACTAGGCATCTTGTACGATCACATCACGGAGCTCAGCGACAGCTCGACGCGGAAATTTTCAGCCACGGACTACAGACTCATGGCACGGAAGACTCGGAACCTGTATGTACTCTCATGTGTGCCCCTTGCCACGTCGGACTCGGCTGAAGAAGTGGCTTCACAAGAAACTCTCCCTGGATCCTTATGAGGTCATCTCGACAGCCGAGTCCCAGCCGGGAGACGGAGTCGGGAGACGCGCAAATGGGTCGTCGTAGGAGTAGATGGAAAGATTGCGTAGAAATATCTCGGGGCTTCCCTCCCTTCGACGTCGGCGACGTGCGCGCTGAGATGCGTAGGCATCCGCGTCGCCTAGCTCTTGGATGCTTGGGATGGGGATTGGTCCGTTTCCGTTCCATAGGCTAAGGCGAGGTTGACCCAAGAGCCGCTGCATGGTGATCTCGATGTCACCGCCATCTTGGTCGCCGGTGGATGGCGGTGCTTCCGAAGTTTGGATTGCTGCGCCGATCGAGCGTTGGTTACGACGGTCGCGACGCTCGCGACGATTTCGACGGTTACGACCGCTGGCCGAGTCGAACTCCGGCCGGTAGACGGAAATCAGCTCGACCTCATCGTCAACTTTCATGTCGTCGTCGCCGATGATTGGCTGTGGTGCCTCATGCGCTGCGCGCTCTGGAGTGAATGAGACTGCGGCGCTAGAATTGTCGAGGTCGCGAAGCGATGTTTCGTCCCCAAGAAGCTGAGAAACGGTCGCCGCATCTGCATCGTCGTCATGGCCTCTATCGGTGTGAGGTGGGAGATCGAGAGTGGAGTCGGGAAGTGGTTCGAGTCCCGGCCCAGTGTTGCGTGGAGCGCCTGCATGACCGTTCCATGGCAGGGGGGGATTGGCGACGTAGATGGGGTTTGGGCTTCGAACAGGGCCTGAGTGGATCGACTTGTCGTCGTCGTCGTCTTCTTCGTCGTCAGCATCAGCCGCATGCTCTGTTGAGAGAGGGCTCAAGCTTGGGTACGGCGCCGCGTCCTGGTCATAGAACGGCAAAGGAGGCTGATCCTCGCATCGTGTGAGAAAGAAATAACAGACGACCGCGCCGGCCGGTCCGCGCTTCAACGAGCACTCCGTGATTTCGTACAGTCCAGAGTATGAGTAGCCTTCGAGAGGCGCAAAACAATTCTGTGCTTGGTAGCCGCGAACCACGCGGATCGGTTGGTCTGTGTAAAGGTTCATCAGAAGAGTCGCATTTGGACCGTGGCTGAGAGATTGGTTGTGAGTCTTTTTTGGAGTAGGTTTGATCAAGTCGCTGCCGACGATGATGAGAGTCTCGCCTTCGTCCACCTCGCCTTCACGTCCAGTTGGGAGAAGCAATGACCAGCAGCCTTGGTGGGGATCACCAGAGATCACATTGTCAGTAGGAGCGTGCACCGCAGCTTCAGAGCATCCCTAGATGAGGCGGGTCAATTCGTTGATCAGTCTCACTAGGCAGCAGCATGAAAATTGGCGCGTAGCCGTGGACGAAAGCACGCGACTCACCTCTCTGTCCGACCACCAGGATCCGACATTCACGTCCGGGATGTGTCCAAATTCCTTTTGCCTTTGACTATGAGTTTTATACGCCTTCTTTTGCAGCCTCGCAGATCGTCGTAGAGGTGGGGGCGCGTTCATTTGTTCAGGTTGTCGCTCAACAGGCATCTCGACTAGTTGTGCCGAACCCAGCTTGGTTACAAGGTCGTTGACACACGCTTGAATGGATTGGCGACCAGGCACAGATTCAGTGTCTGAGTCGATGGCGGCGTCGTTGGCGAAGCGCTGAGCCTCCAAGTCTGAGTCGTTGATGTCGTCCATAAAGGAGCAAAGGCGTGTGATGAAGACGATGGAATGGGAAGAGCTTGCTTCTTGGCAGGAGGTGCGAACAGTGAAAGGCTGGGGATATGGGTGGTCGTCCGTGAACTGTTGAAGAGGGACGATGGAAGGAGGCGCTCGAGGTTCTGGAGGGATAGTGTCTGCCCTTTAGTAGCAGCGGGTCACATCTTGAATAGAATGGTATATGCGCAGCCTGACTCGAGCATCCTTCCCGATCTTGAGTCTTTCTGGCTAGACTAGCCTGCCCAAGTCGAGTCTTTCTTCCAGCATCCTGCGTCCAGCAGGGCTTAACTGCTGGCGTTTGATCATCGAGGCAGGACAAGAAGCGCCTGAAACATGGATTGGTGGAATGGATGGCAGGAGCGAGGCAGGAAACTCTTGATGGATTGCGTGGATGGATGGATGTGAGCGTGCGGCCGGACTGGCAAACACGCAGCACGACCACATGACGACGCGCCATAATGGTCGTGAGATTCGTGAGATAGATAGCAGCAGCAGCAGCAGCAGCAGCCTAACCGCAGATATATGGAGCATCGGCGCGACGTGTTTCACTTTACGCGAAAGGTTTAAATTGGCATCATTGGGCTGACGAAGCGCGCGGTGAATCATCTTATATATAGCCACAAGCCACGAGGCAAACAAAGGCGGTCAGACATAGTGAGCGAGAGTTCCATCCCCCTTTGTGAATCATGGATCCATCATACACTGGCGACTGATAAGAGCTGCTGTGCTGGTCCTTGATGCTTGGTCCACGATTGGAGCTATAGCCCACAGCTACGCCGATCCTGCCGTTGCGTTACGATCCACAATCGTGAATGCACGTCTATCTCGATCCGCTCTCGTCATGACGACGTACGCATCACGGCCCCCGCGGCGCTCCTGTAGCCCTTTGTTATGCCGTTGCATGCCGCCTGATGTCCACATTGACGCAGCAGCAATCGTGAGTTGGATATTGGTTCAAGATCAGCTAGGAACTGGCTCGAAACCTTAACTCTACCATCATCTCGATCGAGGACAACAGATGTGCTTCGGGCGTTGGGTATATCCGAAACGTGGCGACGAAATGTCCGCTCCCACCATCCTTTACACGGAATGCACACTCCGCTGACTCCGCAACAGACCCCAAAGGCGTGAGAACCATCTGCACTCACAGACCTTCACTCGGCACCAATGACGGACTCGAAAAGGAGATTTCGAGACTGTGGGCTCGGAGCATTGCTCCGCAACACTGTCTACAGCGCTTGTTGTCCGCTTGTTGTCCCGTCGAATGAATTCGAAACACACGTACACGTACTCTTTTGTGTCGAACGTAGCTAGGGCGCACTGTTCTCGATGTGGACAGCAAGGACTGACTGACAGTCCTCCTCAGTCTGCCAGCCAGTGAATGCAGTCGAAGCGCTTCGATCGAGTCAAAACCCCAGCCCTCAATAGACGAATTACGGGTGCACGCCGCACACGGCCTGAGTAGCAAACGTATACAGACCACCTTTGTGGCTAGGTTGAAACACTTGAGCAGCGCTTTGTTGGAAAGCCACGCAAGGACCTTTGTCATTTGCGTGGCCCGCAGCGACGTCGCTCCGAGTGCACAGTTTCAAGCCTTTTGTCAGAGAATCAGCAAAGTCTTGTTCTTTTGTAGCCCGTAGCAACGTCGCACCGAGTGAACGATTACATGAGACGCAAACACGTCGGACACACAAGGGCCATCTGGTGGGCAACATGAGATTGCCTTTTGCGTGATGTGACAAAAGTACATGGTGGGCGTGTAGATGTGGACATGCAAAGAAGCGTCATGCCACTCAGGCGTTGGGCAAGACCTTGATTTTGCGGGCGCCCTCGAAGGCACGGCGCTCCTCTCGGGTTTGGAAAAGACCATGACCGTGGGTGGAGCTGGTGGAGATCCACTTGAGGGAAATGTTCTCGAGGTCACGACGAGAAGTGTGTACCTGGAGAGACTTTCGGAGAGCGACGACACGCTTGACGACACCGGGAGTGGTACCCTTGAGGATGAGGGCATCGTTCTTGATGATGCCGTAGTGTCCCCAGCCGCCAAGAGGGTTGATGGACTTCTCGGTGCGGTCGAAGTCAGTGCTACCAGACTTGGGATCGGCGCCATTGATGATGCTGTACACCTTCTTGTTGAGCTCAGTACGGTGGTGGTAACCGTCCTGACCGGAACGAGCGACAGTGTAGAAGACGGAGCTAGGGTGCCATGCACCGATACAAGCGACCTTGCGGAGACCCTGAAAAGACGTCGACGTGCGCACCAAGTCAGCAGACAGCTCTCGCATGACGTAAAGCCGAGTCGAGGAGGGCTGTGTGAACTCACTCTGTGGGTCTTGCGCGGCAGACGCTTGGTTCCCCAACGACTTGTAACACCCTCGTAACCGTGACCCTTGGTGACAGCAACGACATCGATGTTCTCGTTAGGCTCAAAGACGCTCTTCACGTCAAACGTCTTCTCGAACATGCCCTTCGCAAAGTCGACCTTCTCGCCGACAGAGCCACCGTTGACTTGGATTTCCATCAGGTGCGCCTTCTTCTGCTTGATGCTCGTCTTGCGGATTTGGGTATGGGCGAGTACGCGGACGACAGTGCAGTACTTGCGGATGCGCTCGAGCTCCCGAGCAATGGGAGCGCCGTTGCCCTGAGAGTGCTTCTGAGCGTACTTGGTGAAAGCCTTCTTCTTGCTGCGGTACCAGTTCTTGTAGAATCGACGCTTGAGCTCGTCCGAGAGGTGCTCTGCCCAGACAGTCGTCAAGCTGCGGAGACCACGAGGGGTCTCGACGTAGCCAACGACACCGACAACAACCATCGGAGGAGTTTCGACGAGGGTGACCGCCTCCACAACCTCACGCTTGTGCATCTTGGATCCAGGTCGGTCCAAGTCGCGAACGACGTGGGTCATGCCAGCCTTGTAGCCGAGCATGGCAGTGAGGTGCACAGGCTTCTTGGGGTCATCCTTAGGGAAGCTGAATACAAGCGAGAGGACTAACTTCAGCGCTCGCTCAGAGATTCCCAGCGCCAGCTCCCTTGTACGCCGCAGCCTCGAAATCTTCTGCACCAATGATCCTTCCTGCGACTGCCCCTTGCTCCACGCGCCATGATATCGTCCCGCTACCGAAAGCTCACCTCTTGACCTTTCCGCGGTGGCGCGCAGCGCGCTTGCGGGGCAAAAAGCCCAAGTGACCGTCTGATGGCAGTGAAAGAGACAGTGTGAGTGGCTGGTGTCTTAGGCTGGACCAGTCCGTACGCTACTCACGACGTGGATGCTCGAACTAAGCAAAATCGAGGGAAAATGCGCATGGAAGAGCGCAGTGAAACGTCAGCTCAGCTATGACGAGTATATAGGAAGCTCGGAACTAACCTTGCAGTGCGACATCTTGAGGGAGTCTTCAGGAGAGTGTGGTGTCTGATTAGAGCGGGCTAGCCAGCGGCGAGCGTTTCAGTCTAACAAGTCGAATTCAAGACTGGAGACCGCGAAGGACATCTGCGAGCTCCCCGTCCAGAGCCACGTGGTTGAGATGCATGTTGGATTCAAATTTGATCGGCGCCGCATAGCGCGCCTTCGCTGCGGTCTGGGCGCGTAGCCCCTTGTGGGGAACTTCACGTGATACCACTTGGTCTTGCACCGCTCATGATCAACTTTTGGCTCTTCTGCGCCTTCACTCCACGCAAGACCGACTAGCTGGGCACGCCATCAGTCACAGTCACGGGTCGAGGCACACCGCACTTTTTCAAGTCAAAACGCAGTGAGACGATTGTTCCATCTTCGCTGCTCGAAGACACTTTTGGCTTGAACGAGCATCAAGACTCGAACGTCGTATCCACAGTCTGAGTCGCGCGGGGAATGTGTGGACAGGTGGATGGATGCTGCTGACGAGGTGGACGATCGCGGTGACTACCCGTTGCCGTCCCAAGCGACCATCACTGGCCTCTGTGTGAGAGGGACACAATCAGCGTGACTGCACAATGCATGACCAGGCTTCAGCCCTGCTACCAAGTCCCTTCGTTCGCTTATTCAGTACATGCTTCGACGTTTTGACCGACTGCGTTCGCTTGCTGTTTAGCCTCACGCTTAGACAACTCTGCATTGCATCGGTCGAGGAAGTCGTGCAATGCTGCTCAAACTTCCACATGCTCAACGAGCTTCGGCTCTAGATGCTAGCAAGGGGCTAGTGAACTGTGTCGGTAGCCCGCGACATTCATGCGCGCCATAAAAGGCGCCGTCAGTCGAAGAGGGGTGAGCGTCGCAGAGCGAATCAGCTCAGGCGACAGGCACATTGAGATCACTGTCGCGTGGGACGAAAGTGTCATTGCAATAGGCCAGTCGACGCGCAGAACGCGGCAATATGTACAGAGCGGGGCCGGGCAAGATAGCAGCAGATGTTGCACAAACGTAGACTTCCTGCAGGGACTGGAGGACCCTAGCGCTCAGTGAGGACGTCGACGTCATCAGGAACCGCCGCAGTATAGCGATTCTCTACCGCGCAGGTCTTGTCGCAGAGTCAGAGGACAGTCTCGTGCGTTCGGAAGAGAGAGATACGTCTGCGGCGTCTGTAGGCGGTGGAACCAGGGCCACCGGAGGCGTCTCGCTCCTGGCGCCGATTTCTGCCGCAGATACTGCTGCGGATGGGGGCGCGGCGTCGCCTGGTGCTGTCTCCCGTAGAGACCCTCTACTAGGCCGTTTCGTTAAACCTGGTCTGGAGACAGATGGGCTCGGACTAGCCGCACTCGCACTGGATTCGCCCAAGGAAGGCGTGACGGATGTGCCTTGCTCGTGCCGCGCACGCGAATTCGAGGTGCCTCCGGCATCGATGTAAGGCGGTGGAGGACTATCCATGTCCAACGCGATTGCTGGAATGTGCCGTTGGGCGGACGTATCGTGCGATGTATTAGGCCGCAAGGCATGTCTTCCTTCCTTTCCGCCAGCATTCGGTTCTGCCCCCTCGCTCCACATCGAGGCGTAGCGTCCAGAGCTTGAAGACTGTGAAGTTGTCATTGGAAAGGTCGCGCCAGCTCTCCCGCTGCCTATCCGTTCGACGTCCTCGGCGAGTGCAGGAGACGGTGAGCGGCCTAGCCACTGATTCACCGTTGCGAGCGCGCTTGGCGAAGCCGCGCGCCAATTTGGTGGAAGCAGTCCAGCTGCCCACGTGCCGAGACTGCTTCCCCTCGAGTGACCCACAGCGGACTCGTCTGAGCCCATGCGCGCTCGTGCTCCGCTTGCCCATCCAGCTGTGTCTGTGGGAGAGGTTCGCGCCCTCTCACTCGAAGTCGATGAGCTGCCGCCAACAAAGAACGCCGGCAAGTACAGAGTTCCGCCCGCGCTGGACGAGCCTTTTCTTGGTTTCGTCCTCTCGTCCTTGCTAGCGGTGCCTGACCTGACTAAGTGGCTACCATCCGCAGCGACTTGGCGCTCTTCGGCCTCGCTGCTAGCGGTGGGTGGGCGAGCGAAGCCGCTGCCGACCCAGGACAGCAAACCTTGCGCTGCCGAATGCCGACCACTGTCAAGTGACAGGTCCGAATTGGTTTCTTCGTCAGCGCATGCCCCTCCACTTCCTGCCTCTGACGTGTCCGCCTCTCCGTCGCCATCGGCCAGGTCAAACATTGGCAAGCTGTACCTCTGTGGGCGTGGCGCGGCAACGCGAGTGAGACTGTTGTGTGCACTACGAGGGTCGAGAAGATCGCTGTTGTCGGCATCTGGGAGCCTGCCGTACGCTGCGCTGTGCGCCCGACGCGAGCTGCGTGCGTCTGCAGCACGGATTGGAAGGCTGATCCAGCGACCTGCGCTAGACGACGGTGCCACCCCACCACCATTGTTCGCGCTACCTCGACGTCTCCGTCTGTCGGCGCTAGATAGCGCCGATCTGCGACCAAGCGAATGCAAGAAACGGGGCAAAAGCGTTTTGGCAAACCCATAGGCGACGACGATGGCGCCAATCAGCATCAAGCCTCTGCCGTAGTCTCGTAGCAGAATAAGGAAGCCTGCATCGTTCGCATGCCAACTGGAACCATAGAAGTGCTTGAAGAACGCGTTGGGTGCCTCTCCGGGCTTGGCGTTCTTTCCATACAGCGATTTGGGCAACACTCGGACACCCTCGAACCCTGCGGCCGGTTTGCTCGGCGAGCTCGGGATAGCGGGACCATGAGCGTCGACATAGATGCGATACGATGCGCTGACGAACATCGGGCCGGTGCTGAACATGACTGTCGGATAGTTGGTCAGGTAGCGATGATTGAAAGTGACGAGATTGTGGATCAGCTGATCCATGAAGGGGTGACCCTTTGCGGACAGCATGATGTCGTTGGATACGCCCACCGGAATCGTCTTTGGTAAGACGACTTCAAATCGGAGGAGCGGATCAAAGCGCCGAAGACAGCCGACGTCGAGGTCCATATATATACCACCATACTTGTGAAGCACGAAATAACGGATGGCATCCGCGCGCTGGATAGCGTACGGATACGCGTCGAAAATTGGGACGAACCAGGAGTAGTGTTCGACCAAGAACTTCCGACTGTCAGCATCCGTCCACAGCATGTACTCGCTAAGAGCGAGAGTGGAGGTAAGGTGCTAGCGGTGAGTACTGCTGCCTCTTGAGCAGGGTTGGGACAAGGCCACGGGAGAGAACACTCACTAGTCTGGATGCATTGCTTGACATTCTTCGCGAACCGCCTGCCACTTCCCTGGCAAGGTCGAGTCTTTCCAAGTCTGGTGAATGATCCGAGGAATCTTCTCTTTGGGCGACGTGGGTGACCATGGTTTGGGTGTATTGTCAAATGCGGGAGCAGATGGATCTTTCTCAAGGGCAGCCAGTGAGGGGTCACGAGAGCCAGTCATGGGTGACGCAGCGTGTGGGCCTTCTTGTGCCGGGCCCGAATGTGTGAAAGCTCCCTCGGAAGACCTAGAAGAGCTGGAAAGCATCTTGGCGAGCCAAGGATACCGGGCAGCCCAGCCTAGCGGCAGATCATCCGTAGCGCTGCCCCATCTTATCTCGTCCCAAGTACCAAGCTCCTCGGCTTCAATGTACGCGCTCTGATCGATGCTGAAGTATGCTCGCACTGCACTTAGCACTATCACTGTCCCTAGCAGAAATAGAGCCAGGAGAGTGAGGAGTACCGACTGAGTGCGACGAGAAAAGAGGCGAGCCATGGTGGCTGCCGCTTTAGCCCGTCACTAGCAGTGCGGAGAAGGCAACTTTTGCGCTGCAAGACGGTTCAGAGAAAGGTGTGAAAGGACACGGGCAGGTGCCGGCCTCGGCGGTGCTGTGGTGTGGAGGTGTGCACCCAGCCAAGTGTCGTGAGCGCTGAGGGTGAGGGAGTCGTAATCGGTGTCAAAAAGTTCGTGACTGTTTGGAAGGCAGAGTGTCGGTTCGGCCGCCGACGTGCGTGACTTTCGGCGAGAAGGGTGCGATCGAGCTGAGCGATGATTGCTGTATACGTGCGTGATCAACGCAGACTGGGATGAATGGAAAGTACAAAGCTGCGCCAGCTGGTGAGGCTGAAGAGGAATTTGCTCATTGCCTATTCAGATTGTCTGCTCAAGCCCGCTCCCCACCTTCCGTCAAAGCCAAATTTGGGGAAAGTCGAACGAAGGTCTTGTGCAAAGTGTCGTGAAATTGGGCACCAGGCGTGCGTGTCTGCGCGGCCATGCAGCTGATGATGATGATTTCACGATGGCGACCGCGCGCGAGCGCCGAACCGCTGCTGCGCGCATGGCGCGCGCGTGTGCCTCGACAACGGCGCGGCACATCGGCCTCGCTTCGCATCAGAAGTGTGCTCGGCGCTTCGAACGTCAACTGCAGCATGCATGGTCGGTGCATCAGCAGCCGTGAGTATAGCCGCGCATCATGCAGGCTCTAGCGCTCTCGAAGTACAGATATTTGCGGGCGGTGCTCTTGTTGCATCAGCAAGGTTACGAGTGCATGTCCGGCATACATGCAGTACCATCCACGCGTTCACCATGCGCGCATGCATCAGCACAGCAACTGCCTCTCGCCCTGTCAAGCGCGCGTGCATCAGCAGGGATCCGTCCAGAGGATCGATGTGGCTCTTGACCCCGGGTCGTCAATCCGATGGTGAGCATGCTACCAATTCGTATCAGGCCTTGAGAGATGATCTCAACTGTTATGGCAGCGGTTGTAGGCACCATGCAAGTACCAAGAAGCAGCGAGCTATACGCGTAGATGATCTATGCCGTCCGCGAGACTCGGCCCGTGGTCGCGAAGCTGCACGTATGCAGCAGGTGCTGCTGCATCGTCGTCCTGGCTGTAATCCGCGCATGTTACGCGCCTCTCCACAGCATCGATGGGGCTTGGCACGGCGCCACAACAATTATAAGCGGCGAGTGCGCGCGAGGGTCCGCCGCGCTGGATGATGCGCCAGCAGAGCAGCAGTCAAGAGTCTGTTTGGATGCGAAGTTAGTGTCACGCGCAGCGGCGCCCACGCAAACCGTGCATTCAGAATTGTGAGTTGTGCTGCTGCTGCTGCTGCCGCTGCTGCTGCTGCTGCTGCTGTTGGCGACGTACAGGTGCGCCGGGCGAGCTGAGCCGATCGATGGATGTCAATTTCCACGGACCATGTTTCGTGCTGAGCTCTGCCGATGAGAACGTTGGGCACGCCGTTCCCAGTCACGCAGTCACGAGTCGTGAGGCACAAGTGCACTCACTAACGATCAACCCACGACTGCTCTACAACACTCACGACTTCGCGATTACGGTATCACGGATCACGAATGACGTTTACCCATAGCGAGCATCCAGCACAGCCTCACGCAAGTTTTGCGCTCATCTCGATCGCGATCGAGCCGTCATGGTATCACGTTCCTTGTTCAGGAGTCTAATTTTGCGAATATGAATTCATGATTCGATTGAATCACGGTTCGCCCCTGCGTCGACTCTTCTTTTGCGTCCATCCTGAGGAGGTCTTTGGCTGCGTGAGCTCGCCGGGCGCGCGCAACACGAGGTTTGTCTTCCACTCACGAGGGGTGCTACCTTCCAGCAGCTGCAAGCCTAGGCAAGCTAGCGCTTTGATGCCCGAAGCTATCGATCGTTCGCAGAAAGCTCGATCCATGCACATCTATAGATAGAGAGACCGCGCACCTTCCCCCACTCTTCACGATGGTTTCAGATTGCAAGTAGCTACTGCGTGGCATGCCCCTCATCAAAATGTTTGACCACTCCGCGGCCCAAGGCTTCCAAATTCAATTCCCCACCTCTCCTCCTCGCGTGCCTGCATACCTTTTCATTCTCAGAACAGGTGCGCCCACGCGACTTGTGACCTTGCTCTCCACGCATCCAGCATGCACGAGTCAGAGTCAGAGTCACCGTGGCAAGCAATACCGAGCATGCAGGCAATTAAACAGACCGTGTGCGTGATTCAGCAAGAGTCAGAGTATCGCCAGCAGCGCGGCCTGATCAGAATGCTCGACGAATCAGCGTAGCAAATTCAGTTTCAATCCTGTACCAACTGGATTCGTCCTTTGTGCATGGGTGCTGTGGGC